ATCAAGTCTTTAATTATAATCCATATGATTACAAAGTAAATATTCTAAAAATAAAAAGTAGTCATTATCTTGAATACTAGATGATTCAAAGCTCCAAAATATTCCGAAACTAAACACTTTCGAACACTAATGCCTTAGCACGTTCAATCACAAAGTCTCATCGACTCGTTGTCACCAAAAGAGGCCTACAAAAGAAATGTATAAATTGAATTAGTATCCCATTTAGGAACACCGACACCAATTAGCATGAATCCAACAGAGGTAAGTGATCACATAAGGTTTATATTACACACTCAGTTATCAAAAAAAAAAAAAAAAAAAAGCAAACAAAAGCAGAGTACCAAATCAATTGAGTTAGTACTACCATTCATCAATATGCATAAACAGAAGGTTTACATTCCATGATTTTTCACACATGCATAAATTGAATTAGTATCATCAATAACTCCAAAGTAAAAAACAAAAATAAAGATTAGTTTTTACCACATTCACATCAGTATCATCACTGAATGAGGAATCTTCAACACGAGGAGTAGAGTTTAAATCTGGTTCAATAGTAAAAATTAAAATTAAAAACTAAAATAGTAATTTTTTGAACATATACATAATTTATATGAAATTTTACAGTAAGTACCTCGCATCTAACTCCACAACCTGTCTCAAGAACACATGAGTGCTTCCACTGTGCTTGAATGAAGTCGGCTACGAAGTTGACTGATAATCCTACCACCAGTACTAAATTTTACATATATTAAATTAAGTGGGTAAATGGATACCCGTTATAACCGTATGTAATATCCATAACCGATGGATACCCGTTATAACCGCCAATAATACCCATAACCACCCATTTAAATTTCACGGATAAATGGTTATACCAGTTGATTATCAGAATGTGTTACGAACAAAACTACAAAATATAATATTATTAAATAAACAAGAATGCCGAAACGGGCTATAAAACTCCAAGATGCTACATTGTAAATGACTTAATATCTCTAAATAACAAAGTTCTCTATTTATAATAAACTAACATTAGTCTCTAATAAGCAAAGAAACGAAAACCTAATTCTAATGGGCTAAACCCAAATCTAAACACTAAATAAATAAATATTTTCCAACACCCCTTGTCAAACTCATGGCGGTACACGTCATGAGTTTGCCATCAAGTAGATGCGGATGCAAGCTCCGTTAGGCGGACACAGCAAGTCAAGCTGGCAAGTTCCATTAGGCGGACACAACAAAGTAAGTTTCATTAGACAGACACGACAAGACAAGTTTCATAAGACGGATAGGCAAACAGGCAATCAAGCGAGCAAACAAACAATCCAAGCGAACAAGCAAGCAAGTAGATTCCGGTTGAAGATCCAATTAAAAACCAAGTACACAACGCCACTTGAATGGTCATCAGTCCAAGTGATCGTGGTCGTGGTGGGCAACCAAGAGATTTCCAAGCTCAACAATAACCATTCTTACATCAACCGTGTGGGCCAAAACAAACAACCAACTTTTCCTTTTTTTTTTTTTTTTTTTTCTTCTCTTCTTTAGCTCTTTTATTTATTTATTTTAACTTTTTCCATGTGTGGGCCAAAATCTTAACCAATTTCCAATTTTTTCTTTTGGCGATCACATTCTGCGGTAGAGTACAAGGCAAGGACGAACTCAATCCGAGTTTCGTGTTCTCGGGTCGAGCAACAACGACGGTGTGGGGCAGATACGGTGCAGGGGTCGGACGCTGATGCATAGGTTCAAGGCAGCAGCAGTTTGAAACAATGGGATCACACAGCAGTAAACAACGGATTAAGGCTCCGATGGCTTGGTGCAACAATGAGTTCAATTTTTGTGTTTTTTTTCAACGACAAAACCCTAATCTAGGTACAAAGACAAAACCAATTACAACCGAATTGATATCCAGCGACTGAAAAACAAATTGATACCACCAAGAACAGATCAACCTCAAAGGATCGACTCTGCTCTGATACCAAGTTGATTATCAGAATGCGTTACGAACAAAACTACAAAATATAATATTATTAAATAAACAAGAATGCCGAAACGGGCTATAAAACTCCAAGATGCTACATTGTAAATGACTTAATATCTCTAAATAACAAAGTTCTCTATTTATAATAAACTAACATTAGTCTCTAATAAGCAAAGAAACGAAAACCTAATTCTAATGGGCTAAACCCAAATCTAAACACTAAATAAATAAATATTTTCCAACAATACCCATAACCGTTTGTTCGTCTAAATGGTTATCCATAACCGTAACTGTGAACTTTAAATGAACGGGTAACTGTAGTTACCCAAACCTATGGGTATTTTACTGATCCCTAGAAATGAGTACCGATATCATCCCAAGCAAAATCTTGAAAGTTGAGACTTTCTTCTGTATTTTAAATTGGCGGGATAATACCTTCAACATCAATGGTAGTAAAACCTCTTTGTTCAATCTATGCACCTAATAATTATAAGGAAAACTAATGAAAATGGTTTGAAAATTTTGAGTTTTAACGAAAATGACAAAATAAAGGATAAAATGAATAGTACCAGGATTAACTTTTTAGTGTAAAAATATGATTTTTCGTTACCGGGAGCTTTTCGTTAAAGTTCTCATAATTATAGTGGTCCATTTTGTCAATTTTAAACGCTTTCATTCAATTAATATTCCGAACTTATTTTGCCGTCATTTTCCATTCCATTTTCCAATCTGTGAACCTGTGATTCGTCTACAGCTCAAGCGCTCGTTCTAGTTGAGAGATTTTTCAGTATAATCGGTTTATGAGGTGGTACATTATGTGTCATTATATAAATGATTAGATATGTGTGATGAAAAGTTAAAACTTAAAAAATTAGATTTCCCACCACATATATAAAAATACATGGTGTAACCATCCATATTTCGGTTACAATAAAAAATATCTCGTTATAGTCCTGTTTTGAATTATGAAAATTTTGATGGCTTTCCACTGAGCTTTAGTTGTATATGGGAATCATAGGAATCCATCCCAATCACTTAAAATCCTCACCTCTCTTTTCACTTTTCGAATTAAATAAAACTTCTTGTTTGCTTGGGAAAGATCATTTGAGTATTCCCGTGACACTGTCTCTCTCTCATTTTCCCCATAGCTGTCTCTCTGGACAGCACAAATTAAATTAAAATTTGTAAATATATATACACACACATAAAGAAACAGCTTCTTAGCATAAAATTTTGTTTTATTGTAGCAAAAATGAGATAGATATATATTACATGCAGGGAACTATATATGTATTCATCATAGAAGACCTCTTGTATATTTTACTATTTTTCTCATTTTCGCTTCAAAATACGAAAATCATATTATAAGTACAGTCGTCACGAGGGTTATATCGTCTCATTTTTACTAAAGTAAAACGCAATCTCTGCTAAAAATAGCTCGTAAATCTATATTTGTCCCAGAGCACAAAAGCACCATCATATATTTCCTTTTTTTTTTCTACTCTTTTCCACACTCATATATATGGGAATTAGGGATGTCCCATTCATGCTGGCAATTATCTTGCTTCTCATCAATAGCATATAGGAAAAAACTCATCAACCTTAAATGTCAACATCCATATCCAACAAACATATCCACATTTGTTTTTCACAGCGATAACCTGAAACATCCACTTATATTGGTCGTGGTGGAATTATTGGCGTTCATCGATCAAGAAATTTTAGATATTATAATAACGACATTGGTGAGCAAGACATCAAAGAGTAGAAACGAAATAGGTCGTTGTTCTTGTTTACTGTCTACAGTGTTGTGGCCAGAGTTTTGTGGCCAGAAGTGCCACGTGAACAGTCAAATGATTCGTAAAGGGGCTTAATATTGGACATAAATTAGAAGTTAAAAATGTCACAATTAGAGCCTAATTATAACACCAAATGTATGGAGCTTAAGAAAGAAAACAAATAGAAAGCTTTCAAATAAGAAATGCATGGCATACACACACACACACACATGGTGTAGTGATCAAGGGGCTCGTTTGGAAGTATTTTTAGAATGATTGAAAACCTTTTGGAGAAAGTGTTTTTGAATTCCAAAAGCACTTAAAGTATTTCATGCAAAAAACACCAATTATGTGCTTCTTGCAAGAAGCACTTCAAATGTTTTTCCAAGATTTACTTGCATTTTTATTAAACATTGGTTCAAAAAATATTTCACAAAAAAATGTTTTTAGCCTATTTTAAAAGCGGGTCCAACGAACCTTAGGTTTAATAAGTAGATTAATTACATGCATCTAACTGTGGCCTTCAAGTTTTTTCTTTTTAATTTTTTTCTCTTTGGAGCATTGACATGGCATTAAACCCTAGCTAGAATTTTTTAGAAAATGGTGGACCATGTGTGGTCAGGGAGAAGTGGTAAACAGTCAAGGCCTTGGCATAAAAAGACAGTCGTGGAATCTGGAATTTCTGGTAGAAGATCAAATTCGATCTCAATTTCTCAATGGGAAAATGGTCTCCTCTATGAGCAAATTCTTGTGCTTGTAGTTATTGGACAAGAAAATAATTATTTACAAGAAAAAAACAAATTTAGGTTTTGTTATTGACATTTGATAATGAGAGGTACAGATGCATAATCAATGAAAGATGGGCTTAATCCATTTTGATTCCTGTGTTTTCAATTTGGCCAAATTTTTCACTGGACTATGTTTTAAAAACTTATCTTCTCTTTTGGTAGGGATTTTGGAACACAGGGCGAAACAACACATGTCAAACAAGTTTTCCTCCAGTTGTATACTAATATGGTGTTCCGTCCTGTGTTCCAGGCAAACAAAAATTCAGTCCAGTTTTGGTTGAAAAGGTCACTAACCTTTTTTCATTGTTTTTACGTTTCTGTTTGACCCCGGCCCATTAACACTAACACGTAGTCCACTTGTATAGGCCCAGTATTGTTGCAATCACTGAATGGGGCCCATATTAAATTCCGGGTCAAGAGAAGCGAAGCCCAGGTCCGAACAAGCGGATCCTCAAGACTGCGAGTGCGTCCAAGTCTCTGGGAGTCTTCGACTGAGAAAGCGAGGAAGAAGAAGAAGAAGAAGAAGACGACGACGGAGGGATGACGGTGTTTCACTTCTTCAACTGCGCAATTCTGACGTTCGGCCCTCACGCCGTCTACTACTCCGCCACTCCGCTGTACGCCCGTCCTACTCTCCTCTTTGTCTTTCGGATCTTTTACGCTTTCATATATCACTTCCTGTTCACTTTGTCTTCTTCCCCAAGTCAAAACCCTAACTCGTTTGCACGATTCACTTGTGCAGATCGGAGTACGATACGCTCGGGACTTCCGTCAAAGCAGCTCTGGTTTATCTCGGTACAGCTTTAGTGAAGGTCCGTTAGCATTAATTCGTAGTTAATTCAACTGATATGCTTAGAAAAATCACATTTTTATGTAAAGTTTTGGTAAATTTGATTTGATTTCAACAGAAATGGCTGCTGATGGTTTTTGTTTGTTAAATCTGTGTTCTGCAGCTGGTTTGTTTGGCAACTTTTCTGAACGTATCTGACAGTGAGAGCTTCGATCCGTATCAGGTATTTTCTATATTGGTTTCAGTTAAAATGTATGTTTCCGGATAGAAATGTCCATTTTCGATAAGTTCATGCTGCTTCCCATGTTTGTAAATGAACTTTTATTGTAATTTGGCTAGTTTTGCATTTAAAGATTATGAATTTCGCCTGAAATCAGCAAATGCTTAATGCCCTTTTTCGGGTTTCAGGAATTGTTGAAAGCTCTGATCGGTTTTATAGACGTTGCTGGACTTTACTTCGCATTGACCCAGTTGACACACAGGAATATCTCTCAGAATCATAAATTTCAGGCAGTGGGACTTGGTGAGTAGAACCTGATCAAGCCTGTGGAAAACAAAAACCATAAGCTTCTTTTCATTTCTAGAACAATTTTGAAGCTTTTCTTGTTCCCTGTTTGCAGGATGGGCTTTTGCTGATTCTGTTCTCCATAGACTGGCACCGCTGTGGTTGGGCGCTAGAGGACTAGAATTCACTTGGGATTACATTCTCCAAGGCCTTGAAGCAAATGCCAATCTGGTATTCAGTCGTTTTGTTTCCTTCTTTTTTTCCGTTGTAGTTTTCTTACCTACCATGTCGGCCAGAATGCTCTTTGATAGGGTTGTGGGTATAGAATGCTAATATTCCCTATGAGAGTCTGAAAGTGACAATGATTTCATGTTAGGCATACGTCAAACAATGATGTATATGTAGCTTCTTTTTTACTAACTTGACTAATACAACTTCATGGCTTTTTCATCTTTAATTTGAGTAATGGAGTAAATTTTCCTCTCTCTGTTAATAAGCTCGTGTTAACTCTCTTTGTTCAGGTCTTGAGTATATCTCTTGCCGCATTTGGATCTTTGATATGGCTTCGGAAAAACAAGCCTAGGACGTTGGTTCCTTTGATATACATATGTGCAGGATTGGTGGCAACCATGCCATCGATCACAAGGTCAGCTTCTTAACTTCCCTTAGTTCTACCACTACTTGAAAAATTCTTTGCTTTTAACATCTACTCATTGCTATGAGGCATTGATACCCTCGGTAGTTATATCTCTTTCCCTTTCCCTTAAAAATAGTGATAATTCTCTCTCCCACAAATTCTGATCCCATCTTCCTCCTTCATTTCAAGTTCTGATCAACAGGGTTGGTTCCGTTCATCAATTGTCAATGAAACAACTAGATAGCACTCTTTTTAAGTTTCTCTCGTTTAACTCACTTGTTGTTTGTACAGCTATCTGACGCGAGGCTGGGGTTGGCACTTTCTGGACGTGGTAATGTTTGAACTCGGTACCTCTCTAGTGATGGCTCTCATCAGTTGGTGGCTTGTTGCTCAATGTCAGAGACCCTCTGCCTGAAACAACCAGTCATAATCCCTCAACATTGGGCTATCAGTCAGAAAAGGTCTTCAGGATTGGAATATCCTCCGTTCTCAGTGCCTTCGAATGGTTACCATGCGGTTTCAATATTTCAAATTGACCTTTACTGACTTCGCGAACTGAGAGCGTATCTGTTGTAACTTTATATCAGTTTCCACTGGTGTACTCACCAAAATTTTGGGTTGATGTTGGAGATAAATAAGGTTATACCGCGAACTGAGAGTATTTGTTGTAACTTTATATCAGTTTACACTGGTGTACTACCAAATGGGATCTGATCCACATATTGTTGGTTGCTGTATTTTCCACCTCGCTTTCTCCCCCATACGACCTGGTTCTCGTTGATGAAATCTTTCGTTCACTTTTTATACACCAATTTGTCATAGGCATGTCACCGTCTTGCTCAGGTTGCACGAAATCTGTTTGTTTTTCGGTTCCATTCAAACATGAACAGAGTAAGAACTTGATATAACGAACTACAACAACAACAAAGCCTTTTCTCACTAAGTGGGGTCGGAACTTGATATAACGAACTATGAACACAAATTGCAGTACAACGAAAATTTGGACGATTAGATGGTGGAGAACAAAGATTCAACAAGCTTGATCGTGTAGTTCTTTCACCACAGTCGGATCCAGCTACAAAATGCTTCTTTTCGGAGAAGGATAACAAATCCAACTGCAACCTTAAACCCTAAACAGGCAAGCAGATTTTGCCACCACTGCATTAAGAAGTAACGCAATGTGAAAAATTGCAGTTCACTGGCTTTAATCAGAGACATCTGGGGATGTAAGTAAGCACATTGCCTCTGAAAATATGAAGCTGCAGTACACCTCGCTTCACAAACTCAAAAACGACGTCGTCCCCAGGCGAAATCTCGTTTGCCCTAACACAAGCTCCCCATCCCCGTGCCATCTGCACGCGGCGATCTGCCCTGACATGAAGTTGAGCAAGCCATGATCTCCCGGTCGGATCTTGAAGCGTTACAGTCTCTCTACTCGGAAGCCCTGCGTCGCTTACTAGTCCTTCAGCTAGGGCTACATGCTTCGGAATCGTCTGCATTTTGGAAAACAATCGGTACCAAAGGAGGAACAAAAACATAACATACATTTTAGACCAAATGTTTCAGAAACATGATCGTGTAAAGTACTGACCAAAATATTTCGATTAAATTTCTTTAAAGTTTTCGTAAACCACGTATTCTCCGATTTAAACAAGACGGATCCAGTTGATGTTTCTGCTAAATGAACGCTTGCAGGTCTCTCTATGCGCACGACATCATCGACTGCATGGTAAAAAATCGAGACAAGATATGAGAAAGAACTATAACGAGTATATAACTTCTAAGCAACGGGAATGTCACTGTAATTTAAAATGCATGGCAGTGCGTGATTGGTTTGAAATGCCGATATTAAGGAACGAGTATATAACTCACCAGTTCTGCTGTCGGCAAGATTACTACTGCCCTCCTGGCAGCTTCTTCGACATTCTTCTCGCAACAAGTTCGATCAAAGATGGTGACGTCAAACTCTGATCCGCCACCGTATTCGAAGACCAGAAAGTCTCCATGTTCTAGAAAATGATCCTTCACAAAAACCTTCCAACCTTTTCGGAAGAACAAGCCATCCTCTTTCTGTTTAAGTTTCACACCCCAGCAGTCCCCACTAGGGTTTCTGAGAGTACATTTCCGAAGCGATCGTCCTCCGAAGTTCTTGATAAACGCAGACGGTATACGCTGCAGAAGTTAAGAAACAAAGTAAATTAGAAAAAACACACCGATAACTAATAAGTTTTATACAAAGCACTTCGACGTTACCAGATGCTTGGAGAAGTCACCGACAAGAAGCGCTCTAAATGCTGGTGTCTCTAGAGCTTCCTTTAGCTTCTCATCCATGTTTGCCCCTAGAGTTCACCAGAAAAGTAAAAACGCCAACCGGGACCAGATGGTTGAAAGTTGAGGCGGAAGATAGACTATTGACTACTTAGCTAGCTAGGGGTTTTACTTCGACATGTGATGAGATACTGAGTGGAAATGACTATTGACTATAGGCCGATTTGACAAGACATAAGAATCCATCAGAAAGATGAGCCGTATGTTGCACTTTGGTCGTCTTGTAAATCATGGCACAATTTGTAGTCTTGTAAATCATGGCACAATTTGTAGACGTGAGCGTAACTACATTGTTTAAAATGAACAAGATTTTTTATTGTTCACTAAAAGTAACCGTGGACGTGTTTTTTGCTGTGCATTTAAGCATAACTACATTGTTTAGAGTAAATGTATTTTTTGTTGCGCACCAGGTGTAAATCTCTAATTATGCTTTAGATTAGTTTTACGTAAAATATCCTTTATATCACGAGACCCAATTTCCACCTTTTGTTTTTTTGGTTTACTATGCCTTCCAATGTGATTTGCTACGCACCTATTGGAAATGGGGTTTTTCTTACTAAAAAGACTTGGAACGTACTTAATTTAACTTTTAAAAAATGTTCCTTGTCCAAATTTTTAGTGTCCTCCTACTTAGTTATAAGTTTTATGGTTGGTCTTGATTTGGAGTACTTGTTGGTTCAGTCTGTTTTCTTCAGCCTGCCGTGGGTTTCTTCTCTTTTGGCATTTTATCTCTTGCAACCGTACAAATTGTATTAAACTTTTCAACAAGTCCGATTCAATTCTGCTTAAGAATAAATAAGCATCAATTAGGACCATTGATCTCACGTTTCAATCAAAGTTATCCCTTGCAACGCTTTCATGTCGATTGCCGATCATAAGAAAACTCTAAGAGCGAAATTCGATCACCGGTACATGTTTGCCTAAGAATGTAATGATCCTAGTCAAATGTATTGCATACACCATTACACCAGCAAGTCTGCTACTCGATACAAAAATGCAGAAACTTTTCTCTTTAATGCTGCACGCATTTACAAAACTGAATTCACCAGAGGAAAAAAAACCGTTAAAAGTGGTGACAAATTGACATGATTATGTGCAGGGAAAAGGAAAAAGCGGTCGCGCTCACAAAAAATGTTCAGTTAAGTTCTATTGACATTCATGTTCATCACAGGAAAGGATGATTTAGGTTGAAGATGACAACACTCACCAATGTTTAGTTAGCAGTCGCCATGACATGAACACAATCAGAGGAACAAAATGCAAATAGGAAAGCTCACCATATAACATGTATTTAGGGATGGTTGAGCTGGATCATGTGTCAAAGAAAGGGTATCTTTCCTGTAGATTGCACGACCGCTATACTACATCAGATGTTGCTTGTCCGCCTAGATGGTCAAACCCCTTTTTACCAACACCGGAAATGTGCACTTGCATTTCATCCTTACCAACAAGCTCAAATATGCAAACATCTCCAAAGTTGATGTCATTTCCGCGTACAAACGCCATCCACCCTCCACAAAAAGTATGTACCACGCGCCCCTTTGAGTCTGGGATAGAGTTCACAGTCCAACATCCCCCCTTTGAGTTTCGAAGCAGAATCTCTGTTTTATAGTTGGGGAGGTATTGTGTGGAAAACTGGTATGGGACTTTCTGCAAAATAATAACCAATCTATAAGTATGAACCATCCAAAAGCAATCTTCAAAAGAACAATACAAACATTTGTGCACGAATTGACAAGGCTCACCAATGTATATGATCCGCTGATGTTGAACTTCTTCATGATTTTCACAAAATTCGGGAAACAAGAAGTGAAAGATCGAGCTACTCTTTCTTCATCAAGTGTTAACTTGATTCTCAAACCCCTTTTTTGTGAATCTAGTTCATCTTCAACAACTTTTTTCCTGCGATTAACTGTCTCCATTTTATGGTTCAGAAACCAATTTAAGTTAGAAAAATGAAGGTGCCCTTGACATCAACCACAACCACTTTAAACAATATTATTATCATGTGTTTCTTAAACACGTTGAAAATTTAATTACGTTAGCCTGAGTTTATAGATAAAGGTATAGCATGTAAATCTAGATGAACTTCATGCTCATTTCAATCCAAACATGGATAGCACTCATGGCCCCATCTTTGCAAGAAATTGCTAACTTACCCAACTTTTTACTGGCAACTTTTGACTGAGAGAGTGCAACTTTAGTAAGAGATCTTGATGAGCTGCCATATTCCTTGTATCATTAATGAAAGCAGCGTCTTGATACATCTTTGATGATAGTTTATCAGCTATCTCTCTTATGCTCTTTGAATGGACTTTGGGAGAGTTCCCTTTAATTTTCTTTGACAAGCCTTTGATAGTTTTATGTGTAGTAACAGCTAGCCCCGGACTTAACCAACTAGATGTTTCTCCCTTTTGAATGTGGACACGGAATTCACACTCACGCACAAGTTCAAAAATGCAGATATCTCCCAGTTGTATGTCATTACAACGAACAAACGCCATCCATCCTCCACAGAGAGTATGACTTGTGTGCACTCTAGTACTTGGCACAGAATTGACAGTCCAACTTTCTCCTTTCCAATTTTGAAGAACAATCTTTACTTTGCAGTTTGGTAAATGTGCCACTGAAAATTTATACGGGATATTCTGCAAAACATAAATCAGTCGGTGAAAAAACAATCATACACACTAACACCCACAACAACATGCGTGAACACATGCTTATGTTCATACAAGAAAAGGAGAAAAAACTTTTAACACTGAAAAATCTATCATGAGAACACCATATAGACTTCCATGTGAAGAGAAAAAACAGAATACCGTGGACACAGTCCAGACACCAAACCTGAATGAAGAAATGAGGAACTATAGGCACAACCTCTGGGTGATTGTGGTTAATTCCACAGGGAACCAGTAAGCAAGATTTTGAATGGTTTGAGGAATTATGGAAAAGAATTGACAACCAAATTGGAAACAGTAGATCTTTTTTTGGATGCATAAAGGTCGTACCCAGTGCACAAGGCTCCCGCTTTACGCAGGGTCTGGGAGAGGTGAATGTCGGCTAGCCTTACCCCCATTTATGGAGAGGCTGCTCCCAAGTCTCGAACCCAAGACCTACCGCTCATGCATAAGTGCAGATAATTATAATGGGACAGCACCTCAAAAAAGTGAATTGATGCAACACGTATACCTTACATAATAAACAAAACATTCCCTTATAAGAAGAAAAAGATACAACAACAAAGCCAGAGGGAAGAACCAACCAGAGTATATGAACCGCTGATGTTGAAACTTTTTATAATTCTCACAAAATAAGGGTTAGAGGAGCTAAACACTGGAGCTACTTCATGTGCTGATGACATCTGCATACAAACTCTACCATTAACATTTAATCCATCTCCTTTTCCACACACATTTTGGATCGATGCCTTTGCTGCATTTGGAACAACATCCAAACCTGCAAGCAACAATAAATATATCACCAATGTATCTCTTATGTTTTCAGTTTTGTTTGCACAGACGTAGTAAGCCCATTATTTCATGGTTGACATTCTAGTGCACGTGAACTTTTTTACGCCTAGAATTTAATTGAAACAAAACTTGGGCTCATTGCATCCTTTCTCTCTAAAACGGTTAAAATTATCTGTAATACAAACAAATTACTATAAGATGGAAAAAGGGAGAAAAAAAAAGGCAGGCTGTGCAGAATTATCTGGTGACTGGAAAGTGGTCTTCGTGTGGAAAGAGCCAATAGATCAGTTGGCTTTCTTACCAGGGTTTTCATGTGGATTCGTTTCCTTGGAACAAGTTGCTTCTTCTTGGCCCTCATCAATGCATTCTGACTGGAGTTGAGACAAGCCGTGTCTCATCTTCTTCGCCGCACCATCAACCGGCTTATTGCCAGATGATGCGGCTTCCTCCATTCCCCTTTTTCGTCCCACAAACATACACTTTTCAAAGTTGCTAGAGTCTTGGCCGTATCCAAAACGAAATGCAGCCTCTTTCTCACACGCACTTTGATCGAAAATTAGCACGGTGAAACACAAATCACTGTCATATCTAAAAACCAAGAAGTCACCACATTCCACATAATGGTCTCTCACAAATGCCGGCCACCCATGATGCAAGAACAAACCACCATTCTGTTGAATCAATTCAACACTCCACGCACTGCCGCTAGGACCAAACAACAAAACTAACCCGGACGTTCTGCCTTCCATGTGCCTCATAAATCTATTTGGGATTTTCTGTACCATAACATTGCAATCGTATCACCATCCAAAAATGCAACAAACATTGACATTAACCCACCAATATTTAACTTGGCTCAACTCTGGAGACACAAAAATTATAACTTTTTACCATGAAATCCCAGTTGAAGTCTCTCTTCTGATCAGTAACAGAGTAAGATTTTTGCAGGATTACTTATACCAATATGCAATAAACAATTTACCTGTTTGCAACTTCAATGCACTAACCATAATTCCCAAATCCAAAGACTCTCACTTTACAAATTATTCAGCAAATTTTACACCCTAACCCTAATTCCCTACAACCCAGAACAAAATAAAATTTACCCAAAACAAAAAACAATGGAAAATCAGAAGAGGAAGAAGGAAATTACCAGTCTTTCGGAGCTCAAATCAGCAGAATAAAACGCAAAAAATGAGGGCTCCTCACATTCCGAGCTTCCTTCGCCATTGAAATTAACTCTGCAAGTTTCAAACTCTAGACAGAAACCAGAATCTCTCAGTGAAATTTTCCGAGCAACCAAACAGTTCCTAACATTTTCCCTCGGAATTAAAATTAATGAAGCAAGAAGGAACAAAATTCAATGTGTTATTTGTGATCTTGGGGAAATTTAGCGACAAAATTAAAGCCAGTAGCTTTCTCTCACTTGCTCCAGGTGCTCGTTGGAGGACATGCAGCGTGGTTTCACGCCGCCTGATGGCGCGTGACTGCGACAGGTCTCTGACAGACAATGCCACGTACAATAGGATGTCAGAAAAATCTGGTGCTTCCGAGTTTCTTGATTTATGTTGCAATCGAGATTTTTGATTGAATGTGGAAGCGCCACGTCATATGGGGAGGTAATTTGATCATGTTACTAGTGTCATTTAACAATTAACCGGTTGTTTTTTTTTTTTTTAACTAGCAATTGGCGCACACACTGCAATTAAATTTGTTTTTATTTTATTTTATTACGATTAATTATTAATGAGCACGGATGAAAAAATAAAAAGAGAAACATAAAAAAGGAAGAGAAAGGGTAAGGAAAGTGGGGAATGCATGTAGAGAGAGAAAGAGAGGGATAAAAGTGGTTTATTTATTTATTTTTTAAACAGGATGTGTTATATTTAAAATTTGTTAGGCGTAATTATTAAATTGTTTACGTTTTTTATTTTGTTCAGTTCTGGTGAAAAGATTAGAGTGGTAATTCGTTAGAATTTTGATTGACAAACAGAATTTTATTAATATGTAGTTTAGATTACACCCTAAAATTTTCAAATATTATAAAGCTTTTAATTTGGACAAATAATGCCGATTGAAATTTTGACAAAAGATGCCGCCTAGGATTTAAAGCATATGTGGGTTGTTTTCAATTCCACCACTAAAGCTCACGCCGTATGTTTTTAATATTTGGTGGTAATTTTAGGTGTTTAATTCTTCATGTAATCCATGTGATCTCTAAAAATGAATATGAACATAGAAGCTTGAATAACACATCAAAAGCAAGATTAAATAATTATCGATGTGGTCGAAATCACAAAAACAATAAATAATATGAAGTCTTACCTCATGTGAAGCTTCCAAAACATCGATTTCGTATTTCATTCGTCAAAAATAATTTTTCTCAATCAACATGTTTGTAGGTAGTTTCATTTGTTAGGGTTTTGTTCAACAATGAAGGGTTGGAGGGGTTTTGATAGTTGAAGAAGATAAATAATACGTTAAAAGTGATTTGGGATGTATATATATATTTTTTTATTTTATTTTAATCAAATAAGGTCAAAATTATCATTGCATAGTAGGATAAATAAGTTAGGCCTAATCGGATAAATGGTCCCCGTGGTCATAAGGTATTCGGATGATAGCCCCTGTGGTAAAAAAATTCGGATTTAAACCCCTGTGGTCACAGTCTGTTAGGATTTAAACCCCTGTGGTCTAAGTCTGTTAGGATTTATGCCCTTCTGTCATTTCTCCATTAGGTTTAGGTTGGCCAAATCAGATAAATGGTCCCCGTGGTCATAAGGAATTCGGAAGATAGCCCATGTGGTAGAAAAAATTCGGATTTAAACCCTTGTGGTCTAAGTCTATTAGGATTTATGCCTGAAATTAGAGGTTATGTCATTCCTTCGTTAAGCTTACAGGTGGAGCAGAGTTTCTCTGAGTATCTATCAATAAAAATATCTTACAATAAAGGGGGGGGGGGAGAGAAGATTTCAATTTATGGTAAAAAAATTCATTCATCTTAGTTATTTCACAAGAAGAAAAAGACGAAAACAGAGGATCTGTTGAATTTCAAATAGTTAGTTTCACCAATAGGATACGAAGACTTACTTCACATTTACAATTACACAAAACACTATTTATCTCAGAGAGGTTTACGTAAAACTCTGGGAAAACACCAACGATTACTGTTTTATTTGTCAAAGAAAAAATAGAATATGTATAAAGAATTAATTAATCGGTTGGACATTCGGGAGTCAAAAACTCGTTAATTTTATAAAGGCATTTTGAATTATTTGGTTTATTAGATCTTGAATTTTAATGAATTATGTGATTTATTAGTTCCACCTATAAGCTTAGCGGAGAAATGACAGAACCTCTAGTTTCGGGCATAAATCCTAACAAACTTAGACCACAAGGGTTTAAATCCGAATTTTTTTTACCACAGGGACTATCTTCCGAATACCTTAGACCACGGGGACCATTTATCCGATTTTGCCAACCTAAACCTAATGGAGGAATGACATAAAGGCATAAATCCTAACACACCATAAGGGTTTAAATCCTAACAGACTATGACCACAGAGGTTTAAATCCGAATTTTTTTACCACAGGGTCTATCATCCAAATACTTTATGACCTCGGGGACCATTTATCCGATAAGTTATTTAATATTAAGTTTTAATGTCAGATACATACAATATTTTGTAAAATGCTAATATAAAAAACCTACTTAAATACAGAATTTCAAAAGGGGCATAAAGAAGATTTAGTCATCAAGTCACACAGCACGAGTTTAATCTTCACAATATCCAGAAAACACATCAAATATGAAGATAACTACTTAGGCCCCCTACGTGCTCGATAACATTGTCGGAAATCAAAAAACTTCAAAACCAACTGCTGATTACGATCTCCGGCGCGTTATCTCGACGTCCATGAAAGCTGTTGAAATCGACCTGGACATCCGTTTGAGCTTGAATAAGCAGACATCACCTTCCTTGAGACCGTTGGATGCATAGAACTTGCACCATCCCCTTGCTTTTATGGCTAGACGATGATCAGCAGCCTTCACTCTGCTTCCCCAACGACCTAGGCTCAGCGGCCATAATCTTCCACGCGGATCATTGAGAATCAATTTCGATATGCTATGAAGGCCGTTTTCTCTTGCAAACCGTGCAGGAGTAGTCTGCCATAAGCGCTCGCCAGATTGAGAAAGAATCCGAAAAGAAAATGAAACTCCTGCACACTTTACAACTCCGCCTAGGGCTCTATTGAAAGCATGCTCAACATGAATGAGATGAAATTAATTTCAGAAAGTGTGGAAAGAAACAAACTCCATAAGGATAACGAAAGGTAGAGTGCTTACCACATAGCCCTTGCTAACGCACCCATGGCTTTTTGCCATTTTTATCTTGAACTGTTTCCTCGACGTTAACCATTTTGTTGTTTTCAAAAGCCCTTTTCCTGAAACGTAAGTCAAAAGCACCCATGGTTAGATGCAATGCAACATTATTAAGATTTAAGTTCTGTAAACCAATGTAAATCTTGTGGGAAAATGGAAGAGAGTGACGATGAATTTTCCGCTGTGAGAACCACAATTCTGTAATAAAAGAAGCAAAATCATCCAACCTTTGGAACCGCGATGATGCTTATTGTTCCGAGCCTTAGAGGAAGTTGCCATCCTGTTGGCAGCTACACCGGAATCAGGTGGATACTCTTTTTCACAGCCGCCAGAGTCATAGGCAACCATGTTGAAGGCCATGTCTCCTTTGTGTTCAAAAACTGCATTGTCCGCTTCTTTTAAGCCATTACACTTCGCAAACTCTTCCCAACCTTCTTCAAAAGCAAGGTTTCCATCACCGCTCCTACCGACTTTGACACCCCAGTATCCCAAACAGCTTTTAATAAGTGCTGTTTTTGGTTTCTTTCCACTCAGACTTCTACAGAAAGCTGGTGGAAGTCGCTGTTCATACGTACAGGAAAAATATCAAACCACATTTCGTAATCGTTCAATTTGACAGAAGAGCTTGAATAATACAATTACGTTACTGTGGAAGTTCTACCGGATGTGCAAACCAAGAAGCCAATGACAAAGCATCCATCTTTTGATAAATGAAACCCCATCAAAGAAAAGACTAAGGAAGCATGTTTTGATTTAGCAAGGAATCCAGTGACTGTTTTCATATAAGAAGCTATATATTTTATAAAGATACAACGATGCAACGAAAAGCTTACAAGTTGTCCATACGAAATCATGAAGATAATTCACAAGTTCATCTAAAAACAATACAACCCCCGTCGGACTCTAGTTACATTATCTACTATAGTCCGACGGGGTATGCAGGGAAATTAACTGTTCTTCGAGTTTACTGTATAACCACATTTCCCACTTAAAATTTACTGTTTTTGGGAAGATAAAAGAATTAATCTTTTGTGTAAAAATACAAAGAAATTAATCCAAAAAATGGGTTACTCTGTGAAACGGTGAAACAGAAGAATAGCAGGTATCAAAAGTTCCCAAATGCATATATCTATATACATACATATATATGTATAGAGAGAGAGAATCATACAAGTCTCTTTGTGCAGCCAGGGGCCAAATACTTAAAAAACTGGGTGACCGGAGGAACTGCCGCAGCCATGAATCCTGATAAGAAAGAGCAATAAACGTAAACAAAAAGATGTGAAATTTGAACTGATGAACGAACGGCGGGTTGCTGTGGATTGAAACTGAAATTTCAGAAATCAAAAGCTCTGGTTTTTGGATTACCAGCTGAATGCAATGTTTATGTTTATATAACATTGCCAATGGCAGCTCTCCAGCGCAGCTCTGCGTCGCAGTAAAGTGGTTGAGATTCCATGGATGCCATTGGCTGGAGCTTGTACTTTGAGTTCGTACTGTGCAGGGGCGCCACCAGGTACGACGGCGGAAAGCCTGAAACTCTTGCGTCATCGTCTTTGACTCTCTCTGCTACGCCGAACGGGCATTTAGGGTGCGTTTGGTACGTGGGACGGGACGGGACGAAACGGGACGAGGCGTTCCGTCCCGCGTTTGGTACGCCAAAAATGGGTGGAACGGGCTGTTCCACGGGACAGATTTTGGGTGTTTTTGCGTCCCACCTCCCCCTGGAACGGGTTTGTTCCACGTCTGTGGAACACACTGTTTTACCATTTTAAGACAAATATACCCCATGTATTTTTCAAAAATTACACCTTCGTTCCGTCCCGTCCCGTCCCGTTCCGTCCCGTCTGCGTACCAAACGCACCCTTAAAGAATCAGAGAAATTGGGCCTATTAAGTTTAATGGGCTTGATCGATAATAAGTAAAGGCGAGTGTTGAAGCAAGAATTGTTAATTTGCTATTTAGTCCTCACAGAAAAACCCTAATACCTCACCATAACAAATTTTTGATTTGATGGGATGAAATGTTATGTTTTTTAATTTTTGAGTGCTTGTGGTATGAAGAGATAAGTTGATAGTACTGTTTGACTAGGTCAATTTTTATTGGCAACGGAACCAGTAAATTATTGAGCGAGACTAAAATTAAGAGAATCTCATGTTTTTGTGAGAGGTGTCATGTAAAGAACGTGGTTAGACATATCTATTTAAATTGTTGTAGTATAATTTGAAAATCACAAGCATCAAGAACCATTAAAACATGAATTTGAATGTGTTTAGCTTATAAGTTACATGATTAAGTTCTCTTTCCGTTATTAAAATAAGTCCCGAGTTCAAATCCGACCTTTGCAAAGGCTAATGATTCGTGATCAATTAGTTCAATTCGTCTTACTACTATGTCAAAGTGGCGACGTCTCAAATCTGTTGTATTGTCATGTATTTGAACTTTTACAAGACACTTGATAACACCAAAAACACAAAAATTACAATAAAAATTAAAGATTGACAACAAAATAAACAAATTAATTTGCTCACAAGAAAATTCTCCTGAGGATAAAAAAGAACAGACCATACAAAAGCTAGCATCCTTTCTTTCACTTCCATTTCCTTCAAAAACAGAGAGAAAATCATCCATATAATTTACTTTACAAGTGTTACGTTTCGGACTCCTCCTCTAACGACGGTAATTCATCCCGTTCGACTTCAGCAAACGACGAATCGAGAAACTTGGCAACAAAAGCCCACATCTTATATACATCTTCAAAGTTGGTCAAGAATCCGAGCGATGCTGTCACAACTTCGACCCTGAAGAACATGTTCTTACCGCCTTGGCGCCCGTTAACCATTGGCTTGCACAAAGATGTGTCTGCCTGATCAAGTGCCCCGCAATGTTGCTGCTTTGGGCCATCCACAATTCGGACATGGCTAAGGATGCCAACGCCGAGAGATATGCCATTCTTTTCAGCCAATCTTTGTACAACTTCGGGGTGAACTAACCCCCTTCCGCCGCTTCGCCTGACATTAAAAGCCACAGCGGCACCCCTTTCGTATTTGATCTTAGGACCATATATCTGCACAAGAGCCACTTCTGCGCCTTCATGTGAACCAGGTAACCGGAGTTGAAGTAGTGAGGTGACTAGCCAATTGATGAGATATCGCAGTCTGAGGGTAGTTTTGTTCAGGCCTAACATGTTGACATGATCAAGATAACGGCAAACTATCTCAGGCTCCCGCCTTTCCCACTCCTGCTCATCGCCATATTCTCCTTCACTCATGAACTCATCGTCCCCCAGGATAGTCATGGATGTTTCTCCAGGCTCCAAAATAAGGCTCGATTTTCCTCTGTGGTCGTCTTCTATGGTAAAAGACAACCTGTGACCCATGCTTGGCTCTCGATCACCTTCTTCTAAACCGAAAAATCTACCACCAGAAAATCTCTTTGTTTCCCTTCTTCCCAGAAGTCTGAAGTCACCCTCTGTCTCTCTCCTGATGGCACTATCTTTTGATTCTTGGCAAATTTCGGAGGTTGAGGAATTCTCAAAGTTATTGTGTTTAAGACCGGAAGTCTGATCGTTCACCCTGAATCCATCTTCAGCAGAAAGCAGCTTAGAATTGTTGGCCATTAAATCTTCCCGGATTTCAGGTTCTTCTGGAATCTCCCTACCGTTTCGTGAGGCGGCATCTGTTTCAGCAAACATCTCTTCTTCAGGAATTCCCTTAACACGGTCCGGCTCATGTGACACCGATAACACAGCAGCATCGAAAGACAAACCAGGATCTTCATGCACTCTGAGGTTTGCCCTCTTATCATCATCATATATTGGGCTCTTTGGAGGCTTTGGTGTTACTTTCGGAGAGAAATCTTGTTGATTTTCCTCCCAGAAAACCATGTTGGTGGCAAGGGCGAACCTGTTTTCTGTCTTGTGTGTTGGTCGGAAAGATCAGAACCGAATGGACTCTGACCCAAATCAATCCAGTATGAATTGTCTGATGACTCATCCTCACTGAAGATTGGACTCTTCATAACCTCCCCAATCGAAATGCTCTCCGCTTCTTCAAATATGGTGCTTGCACCATCCCTGTCCGAGTCCTGATCCATCTCTGTCTCAAAGCAGTCCCTCACCTGATTGGACGTAAACACACCCGAAAAAGCAGGCATATGAGACTCCCCATTTGTTTCAGGCACTAATTCTTCATTACAGTTGACTGCATCATTCTCAATTCCACCCAATCCATCAAGACCATCCACAGAATCACTCAGGCACTGAGGAAAAACCGGAAGAATCCTCACAATTCCAGTCCCAGTCCGCCCACCTTGACTTTGCAGGCTCGCCATTACAGATTTCTTAATCAAAAGACAACCAAATCCAGTTGGGTCGGACCCAAACACCCTGTAAAATGATGTAATAATGAAATCCGGGCGAAAGAGCGACAGCCCTAGTGAATCCATGTCTTTAGGACCCAACGACCCGGCATCAAGCAAAACATGCCAATTGTTCTGCTGAGCAAGTGCCATCCACTGATACGAATACTTCGCCCCAGTCACTCTTGACTGAACCGGAAACACAAAGAGCCCGGTTGCAGAATCCTTCTTCCTCCTCTTCTTGTTTGCAATCTGCTTCTTCAGCTCCCTAGAGCAAAGCTTCAATGTTGGCCACTTAAACCAGGAGCTATAAAACTTGGCACCTTTCTCTTTCGCCTTCTGCGCCATCCAGTTCACAGACTGGCTCTCATGATCAAACATTGTCAACAGCTTCTTATTCGTGCCGAAAGGGTAAGATTCAGCTAGCAATTTAAATGCAGACCCTCTACTGACAGTAAAAACAAGACCATATTCGTTTTCGGGAATGTTCAAGTAATCCATAATCCTAGTTTTTATGTCGTGTTCAACACAGCCTGTCTCAGCACCTCCATAAAGAGCATGGTTGCTCAAATTCGCAGTTATTTCCGACAATGTAAACGAACATGTTTCCCAATACAGTTGAGTTTGAAGATTCGAAAACAACCCGAAACCGCAGTAATCAAGACATACCTTCGCAAGCGATTCAGAGAGGTGACTGTACTCCTCTGCCCTCACATGATCAATCTTTTCAGTAGACTGGAATTTTGGGTACATTGTGAGGAACTTGTTGAAGGCTTCACGGAGGTGAGGGATTGAATCCTCCGTGGAGAATGTCCGGTCCGCCACAAGCGCCGTCGCGCGCAGAAACTCCTTCTGAGCGTGGAGTCTGGCAAGGGATCTAGACCGTCCAAAGCTGCCGTCTTGATTTGGGGTCTGGTCAGAATCAATGTCTTGGGATTTGGAAAGCAACCCATCTTCTGACGCCTCCTCAAGAGCCTCCCGAAGCCTATTTTCTTGCAGCTGCCGGAGAACCGACGGCTTCCGCTTGGCGTCGACCGCCAAACCAGAACCGTTGTCTCTCCTCCTCCTGGTCTTCTTCTCCATTAGTAGAGCTGCACAGTGGGATATGGGCTTCCATACTGAAAGATGCATATCAATCTCTCTCTCTCTCTCTCTCTTTCTCTCTCTAAAACCAGTCTGATCACTGCTGCCCAGAATCAGCTAACCAGTCTGAATGCAAAAGGGGTCTCTGAAATTTGAAAACCATTCAAATTTTGGGGCTTGAGAGATTGAATCACATTCAAATTTTGGAGCTTTCACTTTAAATTTTTACCTGAAACATTCAAACAACAAAGATAGATTCTTCCATTAAAACCCAGAACTTTATCGTGAGATCCGCAAGGGCAACTGGTCAGAAAAGGAAAAGGCAAAAAACATAAAGGACGTATCTGATAAAGGAAGGAACTACTCACCTATAATAATCATCATCAAATGTGATCACAGAGAACATCTCCAACTTTTGAAAGCCCATAGAGTAAACAAAACCCAATATTTTCCCAGAAAAAAGGATTCAAAACTCAGAAATCCCACAACACATTTGCTGTTCAATTCTTTGATTCTTTGGGCCAAACCATATAAAGATTCAGTCTTTGAAGGGGAATTGAAAGGCTAAAGAGGGAAAGAAAATGGTGCCTAAGAATCAAATCAAAAGACCCAAAAGAAAAAAGAAGGAAGAGAGAGGGATTAAAGCAGGGAGAAAACCAAAGGCAGGAGAAAGAAATAGCTTCCTTCAACAACTCCTCTCAGCTACCAGTAGTTGTAGTAGTGATAGCAATACGAGAGAAGCAGATGCGTTTGGCAATCCATCAAATGCTTTCATTTAATACGGGCACTCAATACGTACTTTTCTGCATTTAATGCTTCCTGCTTTTCTTACCTCTCCACATTAAATACTCCCACCTCCCCTCCTCTCATTTCATTTTCCAGTTTAATTCAACCCAACTCCAGCAATTTGATTTGAGCTCGCTCTCTCTCTCTCTCTCTGCAATTTAAATTTGAAGGAGAATGTTTGAGAAAAGTTTGAGGGCTGCATTGGCCTCGCGTACGTACCCCATTATGCACCCCATATAATCATAAGTTTGCTCCTCAGTGCGATGAGATATTTGTAAAAGGAGACAGAAAGTGAAACTTCGTACTCTGTGATATAATCATTTTTCAAGTATCTTTAACACGGAAAAGGATTT